CTGCCTGCTGCTCCCTGCTGCCGCCTGCTGCTGGTGCTGCTGCTGGTGGCTGCTGCTGCTGCTGCTGTGGTGCTGCTGTGGTGCTGCTGCAATCAAACAGCCTCCAAAGCAAGAAACAAACAGCCAGACACCCTTTTCGAAACACATCCGAAACAGCAAAACACCACCTAATTTCGTGCCCAAAACGTAGAAAAGGAACCCCAAAAAAGGGCCTAACGTCACTTCTGAAACCCTACTTAAAATTGCAACTTTGCCGCTGCCTGCCGCTGCTTGCTGCTGCCTGCTGCTGCCTCTCCTGGTGTCTGCTGCTGCCTGCTGCTGCCTGCTGCTGCCTGCAGCTGCCTGCTGCCTGCTGCTGCCTGCTGCTCCCTGTCTTTTTCTCAATCTTTTCCACTTTTTCAATCTCCCACCAGCTCACCTGCTGCTGCTGCTGCCCAAAAGCACCTGCTGCTGCTAACAGAAGAGTATCAAAAGCACCTCCTGGCACCAAAACAGCAAGGCACGGAAGGACGAACAGGCCCTGCAAGCCGAACTTCGCGTCGGACGCTTATCCGAAGACAACCATGCATTCCTACATGGCCGACCCACAAGACTTCCGGGAAGCTGGTGCACAAAAACTCAGCAGCCTACCTGCGGAGAAAATACATGCTATCGCTTCTGCTGCTGCTGCTGCTGCTGCCGCTGCTGCTGCCGCTGCTGCTCTTGCTGCTAGTGCGGCTAAACTTGCTTGTCTTTGCTTGTCTTATTCCCTGGCGCGCTCCCCCTTGCGTCTGCCGGGGTCGGCGGATATTCAATTATAGTTTATGGGATATCATGGGGAAATATTTGATAGAATGAGATCTGTAACCAGCAATGTGGGGATCTCACCGACAGAAATGTGTTTGTGATACAATAGGGGTTTGCCCATCATCGCTGATGCCTTTTCAAGTGTGTTTGTTTCGGGGTTTATTCATCGAATTTTGTCTTTGCGGCTCAGAAGTGGCAACAGAAGCCAATGCTCCATGGAGCACAAACCAACAGCACATCAAACTCGACCAGGATAGAACCTTAAGATACCACAAGGCCAATGTCCCATGCAGTTCGTGGGCTTGCCCCCAGATATCCTGCCACACACCCAGTGATGATGTGGCGTGACGGAGTCCGAAAACCAACCTGAAAACCAAGGTGATTTACAAATTGCAGAAATGTGTGAAGTCAGACAAGCCAAAATCCTCCAATATACTCGTACCATTCTTCCCTTCCGATTTTTCCTCTGTTCAGTGTGATTCTTCACCGCTTCCCGGCATGTCCCAGAGCCAGGATGGAGGCGAAAAGGAAGGCGAAGGAAAGAAGAAGAGTTGCTTGGCGGTGAGATGTGGTGAGGAAGGGTTTACCCACCAAAACATGGATAACATGGTGACTGAATATGACTTATTGACTTATTAACAACCTACAACAAAGATAGAAATGTAGAATCCTACCATACTACCTCCACATCTGACTGGTGGTTTCAATAGTTATAATAGTTTTCGTTTTCTCGCTGGCGCGTATGGGAAGGTTTGGGATAATTTCGAATGGGTGGTTGATTAATTATTAAGTTTAAACTATATATAGGTATAGAATTTTGTGAAACGACGTGCTTCAAACAATAGTGGGGATGTATCAAAGCTACTTTATTGGGGCAGGTTTGCCTTCAGATCAAATGCGAATATCACATGATATCACCAGATAGAACGGAAGTATCACCACATAATCTGGCTACATCCAGGTCCAATATATTGCTTACATCAATTGGAAATGCAAAACTGCAATATTTGGTTCCATGGAACTCATGGAACTATAGACATGTGAATTTATCCACTAAAAGTAGCGTATTTCACTGAAAAATTGGAATGTTCATCCCACCTGATTTGTATTTCACCACGGGCTATTGAAAGCTGTGATCTAAACAACGGCTTCATAGCACTGGGATCCGAGGCCCCATTGAGAAGCTCATGAAGCAGATGGGCATGGATCCAGCATCTTGGCCTGTGACTGAACAGACCCACAGGTTAACAAACTTATAGAAGCTTATAACTTATGAAAAGGATGGATATTTTGAAAGTCATCCCTTCAACATTTTGGATGTTCATATCGGTCTCTAATAGCAGGACGGTCATCATGCCCAAGGAAGTATTGTAGGATGATCACGCTGTTTTTTCGCAATGTCCAGCCACGCGGATTATATCATATTATATCCACCAATAGACAATACCCCATTTTTCTATCCATTCTAGATCATTTTAGATTCTCATATCCATTTCATCATATCCCCATAAAAGACGACTCTTTGTAGGGTATCCATTCAGCCGCAGAAAGCCATGACGATGGCGAAGCTGAGGCAGTCATGAAGCAGATGGGGATGGATCCAAAGCAGATGGAAGGCACCGTTGGTAGCTAAAGAATCTCTTAGGTAGCATGCTATGGAAAATGGGGATTTATAGATATTTCTTGTGGATTTATCCATGAAAAATGGTGGACTTTCCATGGTTATGTAAACGTTTACCGGAGGGTAATGGCTGGTTGGTGGTTTGGAACATGAATTTTATGACTTTCCATTCAGTTGGGAATTTCATCATCCCAACTGACTTTCACTCCATCATTTTTCAGAGGGGTAGGGCTGAACCACCAACCAGCATGGCCTTCAACCAACCCCATGGCGCCATGGCCACGTTTTGACGGGATATGGGGATTGTTCAGCTGGGGATTCAACAAGCTACCTGTGATCGCAGCTATACGTTAACCAATCCACCAATTAAGATTCCCAGGTATTCAGTCATAGTAGTTACCATCTGGTAAATTAACATAGACCCTGGAAGACTAGTTTTCACTCAGAATTGGCTATTTTCAGGGTCTATGTTAACTTACTGGAGTGTAATAATAATAGTAGTTAACCAAAAGCAATACGTTATGAGTAACAGGATACATGTGGAATCATCATAGTCAACCATGAGCAATAGGGATATCGGGATATTGGTGAACAGCAATGAGATTCAACAAGATGATTCGAACCACAACAAACGGGGACCCCCCAATCACCTTTGTGGGTATTTTTTCCCAACCATCAAGATGGAGGTATCGAAAAAACCCATAGATGGAACGGTGTTCCCAACGTACCAACAGAATCAGCGGGGTGACAAAATGCGGATTGAACCAAGCATGTTATGAGGATACAAGGGGATATACAAGCAACACTGTGCTAGAATTATGGTTTTGTCCAAAACTGGGGAACACCCCAAACATACCAATTTCATCCAACTTCAATGTGGAAATATGAGAATTTGGACAGCATTCGCAAACCCAGATAGGCACCGGCACAGTAGGGCCTAGTGGTGTGCTGGGCCACTGATTTGCCATCCATTTTGCAACTGTTGACTGGCTGTTGCTGCCAAATATGTGTTCATGTGCCCCGGAAAAATGGCATGATGAACGCCAAGAAAGACTTCCGCATGCCTTGTATACAATGGGTTTGACTAATCTACCAACATCTACCTGTTGTGCTTTCGCTGTGTCAACCTGCTGCCTCAATGCCAGGCATGTTCAAACAGATGGGCATCGATCCTTCCATGATGAGTCAAATGATGGGAAGCATGGGAAGCTTGGCCGTCTATATAGTCCGTGGTGTCTTTGGTGTGTGATTTTTTAAGACCCATTTCCATGTTGGAAAATGGAAGGTTGGCTCACGGCTAAGCAAGCACTCCACTTGCTTTCAAATGTGATATATAATTATACTTTATACGTGATAATTATACATGTTATCAACTAACAACAGTTTGACACCTGGCGAAATAAATGTGTCGTTCAGATTGCTGAGCCAGCAAAATGGAGCAAGTGGAAGATCAATTCCTCGTTATATTGAAGATTGAATGATATTTGATAAGAAACTAACCACACTAGAAGATTCAATATATAATATTATATAGTTCAATGCATCTCCTACGCAGATTTTCTCTTGGAGTGAACAATTTGCAGTTGTCCTACTCCAAAAGCATGGTATACTTACAAGAAATCTCCTGGACTAGTAGGGAGGGTTTTTCTCCGAGTGACAAATTGCACAGCCCAGAAGTATCACAGTCGACTTGTTGGCAGGTGCATCCCCACGTCCACGAGTCCACGAGCATTACATCAGCTGATCAGCTGTTTACACCGACAGGAAAACATAGCGGTTTCTTTTGCAGATGTTCCCCGGAAAAAAAGTGACCTTAACTAACTGTAACATACTGTAACTAACTCCAGCTGTCTCCTGTCCTGAGGAAATATGAATCCCATGATGATGATGATGAACCCCATGATGATGGGCGGCGGCATGGGTGGCATGGGCTGCGGTGGCATGGGTGGTATCTCGGCAAGATGGCCGGCGTGGCGGCCGTGGCCAAATGGCCAAATGGCAGGTCCAGCTTGGGAGAGTGGCAGTGTTTTAATAAGGAGAATGGTGAACCTTCTTATTTCATTATTGAATATTGATGAATATTGAATTATTGAATATTCAATCAAATATTCAACCATGAGATTTTAGTATTTGGATTTTGTCATTGAATATTTTACCTTTTTTGAGGCAGAGTATCAATGTCAAATGCAGCCACTAAGATTTCGCAGTTTCACATGGAATTCAGTATGGGCCATTTTTAGTAAAATCATTTTTGGGACCCCACAGTTTGGGTTCCCGGGTTCCCGTTTACATGTAGGGTGTAGCTGATATTCCCCAATTATTTTACTTGGTCTATTTGATACATGGAGTTGTCTGAAAATTCGGAATCCCTAAAACCACTAATCAATAATCATGTTCCCGGTTAAAATTGCCATTAGCACCGCATGCTGGATTTTCAGGCAGCCGACATGTCTCCCCAAACATTGTTGGTTACCCATGTTTTGGCCATAGCAGTTTCATGTGAAGACGGGCAGCGAGTTTGCTTCTTGTTGCCACTTTGGATCCTACCTGATACCTGGGTAATCTTTAACTTATCACCCAAAACAGTGTCAACACGGCAAAGGATAATCTGCAGATAGATTTGAAAAGATCTTGACTCCCGACCAAGAAAGGTCCAAATTGTGGAACCCCAAACTGCCGGGGCACTTTCGCATGTTACATGTATTAGATGTTGAGAATCCAGTTCAATCAGATCAGCCAACTATGTTCTTTCCACCTTCACTTGGTTCTACAGTATCCTGCCCTTTACACAAAAAAAAATAAACATGGAACCTCCCAAAAAGCTGCAAAAATGAAGTTGGAAGGTGCTTTTTCCCACTAGATGTTGAACCATTTTGGGCAATACCAGCCGCCAAAACGTCCCAGGCATGCCTGGCATGGGCAACATGGGCGGCGGCTGTGGCAACATGGGCGGTTGCCCTGGCGGCGGCAACTGCGGCTCCGGTGGTGGAGGCGCGTTGAAGTGTTGGCATACGAAACATGCATTTTTTGATACAAAAATCTATATATATATATACTCATAGAATTGGATGATGGGAAAATTTACAGGAAACCCCTATATTTGATGGTAAAAACCATGGTTTCCTGCAGATTTTCCCTTAAACCAATCCATTGATATACGGGATAAGCGCGAACAGTCTATGATGTTTGCACAACATCTAGTAGGTAACATACATGGAATCTAGTAACATGTATCATGTGCTTGATCCCTGGGTATCAATGGGATGATCGCCGGGGAAACCTTGGACATCATCCATAGCTGGGTAAGAAGCCTAGCTCCCCCGTTGTGAAATGGTAACTATGACCCTGATTTAAATGGCGATGTGGGTGCTTTGTCCTGGAAGGGATGGAGGGAGCAGAGAGAACCAGCAGTGATCCAGATAAAAAATCACAGCTATCTCGACTTGGTTTTTCTGACTTGAGAGATTGTTTGCTCTGCCAGAGTGATGGGAGTTAATCACCCAAAACTGATGTTGAACCATATGCAGCCAAGAAAACTGAAAGCAATATGTATTTGAACGGGGATCGATAGCTAAAAGATGGAAAGCATCAGCAACTTGGGAGAGATAAGCTCAGATGTTCCCTTTTCTTTGAGGGCTTTGTACCGCAACAACGGTGGTGAAATGCGTTGGTTTCCCGCTTTCGGTTGGCCCTCCCCCAGATGTCGCTTCTGGGCCAGGCGGTGGTGGCTCCGGTACCAGGACGATGAAACGGAAACGTTGATGTCACCAACCGTAAAGGGAGGGAGTTTACTGAGTTTACCAACCAGAAAAGCTTGGAGACTTAACAAAAACTAGCAGCAAGAATGGGTGAAGTACTGATTTTTTTCAATTGACCAACATCACTGAAGGTGTCAAATAGCCCGGATCAACATGAAAATCCAATTATTGATATGTTCTTCATAAATCCAATAGTGATACGCCCATGATAATTCCCACCAAATCTGCCCATGAAAAGTGTCCAGGACGGAGCGCGACCGTTCCAAGAGCCGCAGCCCTGCGCGCTCTGGGCTCCCGGCGCTGCCGAGCTCCGGCTGCTCCGGCTGCGGCCCGCCGGGCGCGCCGCCAGGCGGACCCAGCGGGCCGGGCAGCGGACCACCGGGGCCACCCAGTGGCCCCGGACCCTGCGGAGGTGGTGGGGGATGGGGGTTGGGAGGGATGCAAGATGTGGAAAGGATGGGAAAATGTATAGAAAATATATGGGAAAATATAGGCATTTAATGGCATTTAGGTGATTTGAACTGTGAAAAAATGATGGGTACTGTAATTATGGGTATTTCATGGTATTTCAGTAGTTGATTTCAAGTCTCAAAAGCTATGGAAGAATGATGGTGATGGGTTGCAAGGGTTGTTTTCTTTGGGCTATAGTCATTCCCAAAAGGATAGAACAAGTTTCATTTGTCACTGTGTCTTGTGGGAATTTTACTGTTCTATTAGATTAGGGGGTGTCTCCAAGACTTCTTTGTGGTTTGAAGTGGAAACAAATGGTAGTTTGCAGGAAAGGGTCTGAACTTTTAGCCAAAGCGATAGAGGACTCGAGTGCTGTCAATCATGTGGCAAAGAGAGCACTCAGCACAGGCGCGTTAGGCGCGTTTCCTGGCAGTTGCCCAAACCCTTTCGCGCAGATCAAGTTCGCACCAATTCTCAAAAAAAGGGGAGGAACGCCGCGACCATGGTGATGAGCTGGAGCTGCCGGCTTGGCAAGATGTTGATCAACTGATGGATTTCCCTCCACATGGGGGTGAAAGTGCCCTTTTCCCGTAAAAATGTTGGATTGTTGGATTGTTGTTCGATTGTATCATGGCATCTACGAAATCAATTCCCTAGTGGAACACATTGCAGGTAACCTTTGACTTTTGTTTCTTGCAGCGGAAGCTGGCATTGAGGCTCCCAGATGTTTGGGCAGGTCTCATCTTACAAATCTGTGGCAAATGAGTTCATCTCACTAACAAGTTGCCATGGTTTCAAGGGGACAAAAAATGAAGGGTTCATTCCATCAAGTTTACTGGATCTTGGTTTGCTGCCCCAGAAGGTTTAGATATCCTACGAGGGGAGTACAATATGCCGTAGGTCATGTGTAGCCTGTTTTCTGTAGGATCTTAGTCGTCCAGGACTCCAGGACGGTCCGGAGATGAAACCTAACGACCTGTTTCAATGTTGACAGGTTAGCCTATGGATATCCATGGATATCCTATGTTTCTTGTGGACATTTGTCGCCAAAGAAAAAGCAAGAGATAGCTAGCTCTCAGTTGAAGAAGCTTATCTATAGAATGATCAAATCCAGATTAAGACTCTCAACCTCCATGAAACCCCCAGTATTATGAAATTTCCAGTCTAGATAGCCACCCCTTGCCTTAAGCTTGAGATTCACGCTCATTTTTTGACTTGAGACTGACTAAACTTAGTGTCCCTTAGCCCCACTTAACTCTTTTCAATAGCTCAACATTTGGTATATATTGATGAAATTATTTAGTTATAAATGGCTTCATGTAGTTGGTTATATAGTTTGTGTATGCTTTTTTGTGTGTTATTTTGTTGGTTAGTTGGCTAGTTGGTAGTCAGTTTCTTAGTTACTTAGTTACTTTGTTCCTTCATTATTTAGTGAGTTACTCATATTTATATATAGAATATATGTATATACATCGTTTCACTGACTCGCGCACAGTTGCAAAAAGGCGCGAGGATAATAATATATATATAATATATAATATAATATATGACACATTCCCACCCATAGCCCAGTTCCATCGGTCCTTTCATCCATCCCCAGGTGGTTGCGGCCCCGGCTGCGGCGGCTGCGGCGGCTGCGGTGGCTGTGGTGGCTGTGGCCCTTGCGGCGGCTGCGGAGGACCTTGCGGAGGCTGAGCCATTAAAGAGACACTAAAGAGACCCCTGTTGATTCATGGAATCCTAGATGGAATTTTTATACCATCAAGACCCAATTTAAGGATTTTGATGGATGATTAATGTGGTTTTGTTGGATGTCAATGATGTTTTCATTGGATTTAATGGGAAGTTAATGGATGTTACTCACCTTTAATGCGGTTTTATGGTTTTGCTTGGTTTATAGTGGGTTTGTATAGAGACTTTATTGGGGTTGAACTTGAACTATCAAAAAAATATGGATGATGAACATTTGAAGCCCAGGAAGTGAAAGAAATGAATTTCCCAAACGAAACCTTGCTTTAGAGGCCGATTTGTCATGTTGGAGGCGATATTTCAATGGGATCCCCAACTTGGAGGATCATTCCGACAGTTTTGACAAAAATGATGGTCATCAACAAAGCTGTTTTTTGTAGAGCACCAAGAAAACAGAGATTTCGCACAGTGCCCATCCAAATCGATGCTTCCAAATGGATATGGCTGAAAATTGGGCGCCCAACAAAATCCATTGTATCATCATCTGGTTGGTGGTTTGGAACATTTTTTTTCCAAACAGATGATCTGGTTGGTGCTTTGGAACATGAATGGATTATGACTTTCCATATGTTGAGAATAATCATCCCAACTGACGAACTCATATTTTTCAGAGGGGTGGGTATACCACCAGCCAGTCATCATGTTCCTCCAATAAAATGGTCCCATTTTCAGACGCAGCCCATGTAGTGAATCATCCAATGTTGGCGATGCATTCTAACATAACAAGGGTTATGCCCCTACTTAGCCGAGTTGGTATCCAGTATCTAGCATCACTATATGAATTATGGCATATGTAACAATATATAGTTATATTACAAGGTTAACCAACAAACATCTTAAAAAATGCTTCATATGACAAGGTTCATAAACCAAACGGATCCAAAAAAATGGTTCATCACCTTGCACCAGCCCCATGGACGTCACTTCTGCCTCCGGCGCAGGTTGCGGCTTCCCAGGCCCTGGTGGACCTGGTGGACCCGGGGGCCCTGGGGGCCCTGGCCCTGGCGGAAAGGGAAGTTTTGCACCGCCACCACCACCCAGAGCAGCTCGGTTGGGTGGAAAATGGTGGAAAGGCTGGGAAGGCTGGGAAGATGGAGGAAAAATATGGAACAATGATGAATAATGGTGATTTTTTTTCAAGATCTTTGATGGTCAAATAGAATTTCCAGGGTAGAGTTGCTGACCAGCATTTTGCTGTTTCGATAGGTCATTGTTTCTGTACGGTTTACGTGGAGAATGTGGCGGTTTCATGTGTTGTTGGAGTGTGCAAGTTCGAATTTCGGGGATGGTCTTGGGTAAGTGGTAACAGATGAATGTGAAGATGAGGCAGAAAATACAGTGCAAGCGAAAGACAAATGATACCCTCTGGTTATTTAACATAGCCATGGAAGCCATGGCCCATAGAAATAGATGGTTTACCATGGTTTACCAATTAAAAATGGGTGGATTTTCCATGGCTATCTTAAATAAGCAAATGGTAGATTGCTTTCCCAACTTTGGCCACCAGCACAAGATGCACAAGTGTTGTATCAGGACCTGGCGGAAAGAGCATGGGAATAAGAGGTCGCTCTTCGATTTCAAGGGTTTCCTTTTTATCGAAGGTTCCTGATACATCCCATTCTTGAAGTGAACCCATGAATCACTGAACCGCTAAAGCTTAAGACTTTAGTGAAAGCCATCCAAGTTTACTTACTGATGTATGAAATAGCACCCGCCAATCACAATTTTGCATGGTTGGGGTTGGAAGACGCAATTATCAGTTGCAGTTATGTTTTTTTGAAGATACTCCATCAAGCTCATCGTCATGAATCGTGGTGCCCTCAAGAAATCCCTGACATATGGATAGTGCAAACAATGATTTTCTAGCAAGCCAGGCTATGCAGATTACTAAGAGTAATTCATAGTAATTCTCCAGATCCTTAGGATCTTCTGTAAGCGCCGTGTTTCCTCTTGAATTACTGACATTGAGCCTTTTAGATCCTCGTGGTACAAACGAAGCAGCACGAAGAAAGACCCATATACAGCTCGTCATGAGAACAATGTTATACATCTCATAAACCATAAAGTTCATCATAAATCATGCTGAATTTGCAAATTTGCACAAGTTACAGCAACCCCACAAAAGTAGTTCGAAAGCTCACTCATGGACTTCAAATCCTGGAATAATTCATCATCCTGATCTTCACTTCATCCCGAAAAGTGGTTGTTATAGATCCTAAAACATCCTAATTCATCAATAAATCCTGATCTTCACTTCAACCATCCAAGATCATCTGGGAAAATTTTAAAAGATCCTAAAGGATCATCATCAAATCCTCATCCAAGATCTAAAACATGTGATTTTCATGGCGAAAAAAAAGTCCTTTTCGCCGCCCCAGGAAGACCCCGCGGCGCGCGCCGCGCGCTCCGCCGCCGCGGGCGCCGAGGCGGCGGCCTTTTTGCAGCAGGCCTCTAGGTGCCGGCGGTGGGATGAAAAATGGAGGTTTGAATGGGAAAAATATGGGAAAATCATGGAAAACCATGGAAAATGGTAGGACAAGCTCAAGGAAGATCATGGAAAACCATGGAAAATGGTAGGACAAGCTCAAGGAAAATCATGGAAAACCATGGAAAATGGTAGGACAAGCTCAAGGAAAATCATGGAAAACCATGGAAAATGGTAGGACAAGCTCAAGGAAAATCATGGAAAACCATGGAAAATGGTAGGACAAGCTCAAGGAAAATCATGGAAAATGGTAGGGTTTTGTTTACACAAATCATGGAAACGTATGTAAAACCAATGCTAAATGGATGTTATTTTAATCGGGATATCATCTATGAATGGAATATCGGACAAATCGTGGAACAAACATGAAAAAATCCATGAAAATCCTACATAAAGGTTCTATTTAATGGGAATATCATCTATAAATAGTGGATTGTCCAGTGCCGTGTTTGAGTACCAAAGAGTATGTTCGTTGGTTTTATATAGATATGTTATGATATGTATGTATATATATATATACATATTATATATAGATGATTTATCTGTGTTTTCATGTTATTTTATGTTATCTCATTTGCTTAGAGGCTTAGAGATGTGAGTCATAAATCCTATAGCAATGATGGATACAAAACAAACTTACGCAACTTGCCCGTCAATTTGGGGGTTACAGGGCCTTCCTGTTGATGCTTTTTTGGGGGGTAATTATCCTGCCCTTCATACACTTGGGACTATCAGAATTATATAATTCAGGAACTGGGGACCCCATTAACAATCATTAACATACCAATAAAATGATTTTCCAACAAGTGTTTGACACTGCTCACATGCGTGTTTCCTCATAATCCATGATTTCGCAAATGGCTACCCAAGATATTGGGGGAAATTCAACAGCATCCTACTTGCAATAGCAATAACCTTGGCGCCTTCGAAAAGGTGAAGGAAACATGCATTTTCATCCCAGGATTGTGGAACAGGATGAACGATGCCCAATTTAATGATTTTGGGAGCGCATAAACTTTCCAAGAAATTTGATTTATTATTGACTTTATCGCATCTGTTGACTTGTAGGGGTTCCTATGTAGTATGTTTCACTAATTAACATGGTTAGGATGTTGTTTGTTTCACTACCGCAGCCCTTTTTCAAGGAGGTAGCTAGCTGACAGAGCCCAAAAGTCCGCTGCATGGTAGCGGAGCTCCTGGTGAGGAGCCTAAGGCACTGGTGTGGAGGCTGGTGCTTGGAGCGCCTGAGGCGCAGAGCTGCTTCAGCTCGCGCCCGGACCAACTGGGTCCGTCTGGTACGCAAGCTGTACCGGGTGAGGAAGTTGCAACGCATCTTCCACAACGTTGGGGTCTTCCTACAAGGATTTCCCAGGAGGCTGTTGGACCAAGTTAGGAGGTTGCAGTAATGTCAGCCCCAACGAGCCCTACAGCACAAGGTGGTGGCGCTGAAGTTGTCTTTGGACAGATACTACAAACCATGCAAGCTGGTATGCAACAGATGGCCCAAGACTCACAGCAGAGGTTCGAATTGCTGGAAAGAGGCCTACGTGAGCAGTCCCAGTTTCTACAGGCCAGTGCAACAGCGCAAATGACTGCACTGGAAACTCTCTCAAAGAAGTCCAACGTGGTGGACGTGAAGGGAGTGGGCAAACCTGACGTACTGAAAGGGAGCCATGAAGAGGCAAAGCGTGCATGGAAAAGTTGGGCGTATAAGTTTGAGTCATGGTTTGTGTCGCAGTACCCAGATGCTGGACAACAAGCTTTAGACTGGGCAAAGGAGAAGGGTGACACAACCATCTTTGACTCAGATGTCCAGCAGAAGGCCAACACCTTAACCGATCTCCGCAAAATGGATGGGCACTTGCACGTCGCCCTGGTGTCACTGACATCAGGAATGCCATACGACGTGGTGTTCAATGCCAGGAAGAAGTGTGGACTGGACGCCTGGAGGAGACTGAACCATGTGTATGAGCCTTGGAACCCACGGTCAAACATGAGGCTTCTACGAAGGATACTGGTGCAACCTAGGGCAACCTTGGATGGCTTGAGAGCCGCCATCGACCGTTGGGAGGCCGACCTGGTGGAGTATGTGCAGAGAGGAAACCGTGACCTGGATGACCCACAGAAGGTGACCATCTTGCTGAGTATGGTACCTGAGTCCCTGGAAGATCACCTGGAGATGAATATGAGCCGGCTGGACACCTATGTTAAAGCACGGTCGGAAGTCATCTCCTACACAGAACAGAAGGCCTTCAAGGCCGATGCCGATAGCGGTGGCGCTGCCCCTATGGAGCTGGATGCCTGCAAGGGGAACTCCAAGGGTAGCAGCAAAGGTAACAAAGGTGGCAAGGGCAAAGGAAAGGATGGCAACAAGAACAATCCCGACAAGGATGTGGTATGTCACCTATGTGGAAAGAAAGGACACCGAAAGGCCAATTGCTGGCACGCAAAGGCCAATGGGGGCTCTGGTCAACCGCCAAGTCAGAAGGGCAACTCCCAGCCCAACACCAAGAATGGCAAAGGAAAGGGACAACAGAAAGGTAAAGGCCAAGGGAAAGGCTCCAAAGGCAAGGCTCACGCCTTGGAAGGCGAAGCTGAAGGAGATCAAGCCGCTGAGCAGGAGTGGCCGGATGGTGATGAACCTGAGCGAGAAGGCAACTTGGGACTCTTGTGCGTGGCCCGAGGGTCGAGTACTGGCTCAGTACCGTTCCCGGGTCGCACAGGGTCGCCAATGGATGGGGAGACAGCCACCAAGATCGTGCGCCCGGAGCACGGCAATCTCTCCTGGTTCTGGTCGAGGCCTTGGGACGATGTGGTCTCGGAGTGCAAGAGAGATCGAAGTAGAGCGGACCCGATCTACCGGTGCACGGTGCCCAACTGCAAGGGGTACTACAGGAGCTTCACGGCACACGGCTTGGAAGCACACCTGTGGTCCAAGTTACAGACAATGGGTCACCCTGTGCAAGAGCAGTGGGATGCCTGGAAGGTCGCGGCCAAACGAGGTCACTACATCAGGCCAGAGCTGCCTGGTGAGGAGGAGTTCCTCAGGAACCCCGTGCACTGTGGGAAGGATCCCATTTGGGTACATTTGCCAAGAGAGCCGGACTACTCCAAGCACAAGGACAATTACGAATCCGAACCGGGAGACGAAGAGGAAGGAATGCAAAGCGCCGAGAAAGAGGAAGCTCAAGAAGAAACTGCCGAGGAAGAGTCCCCGGTGAGCGATTACATCGTCGAGGAGTTACTAGTTGGAGAAGATGACAACCGGACACGGAAGTCGAGTACTGCTTCAGTACCGTCTTCTAGGTCCAATAGGTCCAGAACTCCACTTCCAAGGAGAAGATGTCCTGTGGAAGCTGAAGAAGAGAAGCCAGGATCCGGCGCTGTGTCTGGATCGACTGCGGGATCCCCTGTGCAGAAGTATGTTCCCCCTCACAAGCGGCAAGCTGAGTCATCAAAGGGCAAGTGCTCTGTGGGTGGAGCTTCGTCTTCGAAGCCCGCCCCATATGAGCTGACTGCTGCTTCAAGAGCCATCATGCTTGGAGAACTCCTAGGCAAACGGAATGATGAGCTGGAGGAACGACGTGCATTCTTGGATGATCCCAAGTGTCAAGGGGCTACTCGAACTGAAACCTTGGACATGATCGCCAAGTTGGAACTTGAGCTTGAGGATCTGAAGGGTGAACAGCGAACTGTCCGCCGAAAGCAACGAGAAGGGCTTTCTTCACACGGCAAGAAAGAGACAAGGAAGTTCTTGGAGGACGCTTGGCCTACCTGAAGGAGAGGTCAAGGAAACGCGCTGCAAGTAAAAGAAGGGAAGGTCACGTGGATCGCGTAAAGGAGTGGTTGCAGAAGGAAGACGAATGGTGGAAACGCTTCAACCAACCTGGTAAAGGGCGAAAGGTGCGAGTCTTCCCTTTGGCGGAAGGAGAGTTGGCAGGCGAAGTACAAGCAGCACCTTTGTCGAAGAAGGCCAAGACGGCGCTTCTGGAGGAAGAAGAGCAAGCGTTCCTTGAGTTGCCGCAGCATAGGCCGCGGACTAAGGAGCTGCCGCCGTCAGCAAGGAAGTTGACGCCAAAGAAAAGAGCAGCCAAGCACAAAAGAGAACGAAGGCGAGGGCAACGCCGGAAGGCAGACAAGGAGCAAGGAAAAGGCAAAGGATCAGCCAAGGGTGAGAGTAGAGCCAAGGGTACGGGGCATTTGGCTTCGTTCTCTGGTTCAAGCAGCATGGGTACCGCTACGGGTGCTTACCCTGGCCGGACAAGAGTCGATTTCGTCATTGACTCGGGCACAAGCGCAACTACCATTCCCAAAGGATTGGTGGGAAAGGTGAAGCTGGACGAGCCCATTGGTTACCACAGTTTCAAACTTGCAGATGGGAACGTGGTCACCAATGACGGAACCTTGACAGCCAAGGCGTGGCTGATGGGCAATGAGGTGATGGTTGTGCGGATGTCAGTGGCAGACATCTCGCAGCCGCTTCTATCTGTTGGCCAGATGGTCAACCAGGGCAACAAAGTAGTCCTCTCCCCCAAGGTAAGCTACTTGGAAACCAAGGGTGGCGGAATTCACCGCATCTTCCAGAGGAATGGTGTGTATGTTCTGCCGCTGTGGCTGGATAGCGCGAAGATGGCCCCAACTGACCCTTTTGTAGGGCAGGGCCACGGCAGCCTGTAAGACCTAAAGCAGAGAGGGCGGAGAGCTGTTTCAGCTCCGGCCCCGCTGTAGCTGGGGTACAGAGCCGTTTCGGTTCGTGCCCCCAGCAACCCACTGGACAAATGGCCCCCGCTGAAGGCCAACAAGAGGAGTTGGATGCCGAACAGATCGCTGAGGGCGTGCTGGAGGCACCGCAGCTGGTTGAGGCAGAAGAAGGGAGGGCAGCAAAACCGATCAGATCTCCCAGTCTGCCCAGCCTTGAAGAGGTGGAGGCTCATTCGGTGAGTCACATCCCCTTCCGAGCCTGGTGTTCGCACTGTGTGCGAGGCAGAGGCAAAAGCTATGCGCATCGTCGGGTGGTTCGGTCCGATGACACTGAAGAGATCCCTGTCATTAGCATCGACTATGGCAACTATGGGTTCTTTGGAGCCCCAGGAGAGCTCCCTGCTGACGCAGTCGGAGGCCATAAGATGCCGGTGCTGGTGGCAAGAGATCGACGAAGCAAAGCATTGTTCACACACTTGGTTCCATCCAAAGGTGTGGAACATTTGTACCCCGAGCAAGCACTATGTCGAGACATACGATTCTTGGCATACCCAGAGGTGGTTGTGAAGAGCGACCAAGAGCCAGCCATCAAGGCTGTGGCTGAAGCGGTGAAGAACGCGTTCGCTGCTTCAAATATACGGGTGCAACTTGAGCATTCTCCCAAGGGAGATCACCATGGGAAATCCAATGGCGAGGCCGAGGCCGCTGTTGAAATTACCCAAGGGTTGTGCCGGACGTACAAGGATGCCTGTGAGACGGGCATGGGCAAAGCAATCGACCCCAAGTCGCCATTGCTGGCTTGGATGATCGAGCATGCGGGCAACATGTACAACCTGTATGCCCATCACGACACATTGAAAGATGGTCTCACCCCCTTCCGGAGGTTGAAGGGCCGAGATTGGCAGGTGTCGTTGCCGCCGTGGGGAGAAGCGGTGGATTACAGAGTGCGCACCAAACACAAGTTAGAACCAAGATGGGCAACGGGAATCTTTTGTGGTGTAAGACTCAACACTACGGAAAAGATCATTGCCACAGAGAATGCCATTGTGGTTGCTCAGTCCGTCCGGAGGAAACCGAAGGAGCTTCGATGGGACGCAGATCTTTTTGCAAAGGTCAAAAGGACGCCATGGGTGCCAATCCCCGGCCGAGCCGTTCGGCCTGAGGAAGCAGAGGAGCTTACTGAGGCAATCGAAGTCTTGCTCGAAGTTCCGGAAGAACCTGCTGCCGATGCCATCGCAGCAGACAAGAAAGAAGTCCTGAGGCGGGTCTATATCCGTCAAACGGACCTTGATAGCCACGGGTACACAGCTGGATGTCCTGCGTGCGACGCCATTCGCACGGGTTATTCCCGAGAAGGGATCCTCCACTCAGAATCTTGCCGATCACGAGTGGTTGGTAAACTTGGAGAGTCAGAGGAAGGACGAAAGCGTTTGGAAGCCGCCAAGCGCAGTGAACTTCCGAAAAGGTTTCGGAAGGCCGAAGAATTGAAGGTGAGAACTGAAGAGAAGAAGGGTACGAGTGTCGTTTCGATACCGGACCCTCCCTCGGGCGCACCGTCGTCGTCTTCATCGGCGTCTGCTGCACCAAAGCGTGAGACAGCTGAGGCTACGACGCAGGAGGCGCGTCCTGAAAAGAAGGTACGAGGAGAAAGCTTGAAGAAGCCACGGTTAGAGACTGGAGGTCAGAGTGTTGCTTCAACACCTGTCCCGGGTCTTGCCGGAGGTCAGAGCGCTGCTTCAGCGCCTGGCCCAAGTCCCAACGTCGGTGCAGACTCTGGTGACACTGACATGGGCGAATCACGGAAAAGGTCCCGAGAAACAGGGGACGAAGAAATGGTGACAAATTTCCTGTTATCCTTGAGAACAGGATTTCTAGCATCTGTTGCTGGAGAAACACACCCTGTGTGCCACGAGAAGCTCGAGACTGAGGTGTATGAAGAATATGAAACCTCTATTGGGACGACATCACAGGGAAGCCACTTCGATCAGACTTGGTCGAAGCATCACGCAGAGAGGAGATCGATGTCGTGACTTCGATGGGAGTCTGGGAAATTATCCCGAGACCCAAAGGAGAGAAGGTGATATCAACTCGGTGGGTAGATGTCAACAAGAAGGACGATCGCAACCCGAAGTACAGGAGTCGCCTGGTGGCCCGCGAGCTCAAGAAGAAGTATGCGGGAAAGGTCTCTGACGAAGCCCACACTCCCAGTTGGGAAGATTTCTATGCATCGATGCCGCCGATCAGCGCACTGCGAACTTTATTCGCACTTGCAACCACCAATCGTGCGCCTGGATTGGACGGTAGAATGCGGGAACTGCCCCGCAACCGATGCCTGGTCTTCTTAGATATCAAGAAAGCTCATTTCTGGGCTGATGCACGAAGGCGTATCTTGGTGGAGCTGCCTATGGAGACTGGCGTAGATACCGAAAAGTATGTCGGTCTTCTAAAGAAGTCTCTCTACGGAACACGAGATGCTCCCGCGAATTGGGAAGCGACCATCCTTCGAGTCATGACGCTCCTAGGATTCGTTCAGGGTCGTTCAAACAGCTGTCTGTACTTTCATCCTGGAAGACAGATCCAAGTGGAAGTCCACGGTGACGATTTCACCGGTCTGGGCTCAAAGGATCATCTCGAATGGTTCGCTACTGAGCTGGGAAAACATTGGACGATTGAAGTCCGTGGATACCTGGGTCCACCTGGAATGGCTGGAACGCAACAGACGATAGACATTCTGAATCGGTTGGTAACGTGGAGTGCAAAAGGCATTGAGCTGGAAGCCGACCCACGTCATGCCGAGATCATCATGAATGAGATGGGATGCGCAGGGGCCAAAGTTTCTTCGGCCCTTGTCAAAGAAAGGGTAGAAGAGGTGGATAGCGCTGAGCCACTCGATCCTGAGGAAATTCCAAGGTATCGATCGGTCAGCATGCGCTTAGCCTACCTAGCACAGGACAGGCCAGACTTGCAGGTACTTGCCAAGGAGTTGGCAAAGGGACTGAAGAATCCCACTACTGCACATTGGACAATGCTCAAGAGAGGAGCACGGTACCTGAGAAGCAGACCTCGTCTGATTCATCTCTTCCCGTATCAGCATTCGATATCTCAATTGGTGGTCTGGACCGATGCGGACCATGCTGGATGTTTGAGAACACGGAAAAGCACCACTGGCTATTGCATTCGACTTGGAAATCCCACTACGAAAACCAGTTGCAAGAGCCAGGCAGTAATTGCACTTAGCAGTGGTGAGGCTGAATACTATGGCTTAGTTTCCGCTGCTTGCAATGCTCTTGGAGAGCAATCAGTCCTGAAGGATTGGGGCATTTGGCTGCCAATCCATGGCTGGATGGATGCCAACACCGGTTTGTCCATTGCTTCAAGACATGGCCTTGGTCGTGTGAAGCATATCGACACTGTGTTCCTTTGGACGCAAGATGCTGTAGCCAAAGGTCGTATTTCCTTGGGAAAGAAACCTACGGCTGAAATGCTGGCAGACTTGCTGACGAAACCACTGGAACAAGCTAGAGTCCGTTACCTGCTTGAGTGCATGAACTACTACTATGCCGAAGGAAGGCATCACCTCGCACTCGACGTCTGAAGGGCTTGAGCCGGGCTAGGACTGAACATAGAACCCTCGTAACTCGGGCACCAGACCTGAGATAGTTCAGCAGCCCTCGGGAGGCGTGTTGACTTGTAAGGGTTCCTATGTAGTATGTTTCACTAATTAACATGGTTAGGATGTTGTTTGTTTCACTACCGCAGCCCTTTTTCAAGGAGGTAGCTAGCTGACAGAGCCCAAAAGTCCGCTGCAGCATCACTTGGGATATTTTTTGGAGAGGAAGGCAGATGTTTCAGGAACAAGAACGAAACTTGACTACTGCAGCAGGAATTGGGATTTCAACAAAGATCGTTATTTGATGTGCTAAACTGAAGATTCATATAAGAATGTGTATATACAACACTTTGGTTTTATGTTAACATATGTTAACCATGTTTAACCAAGAAATAAGTGGTCGTCTAAAACGCCAACCTCTTTTTTGGGTGCATATTGACTGTAGTGGATATACTAATATACTTTACCAACCAGAATATGGATTATCACAATATTTCTGATTTTAACCTATGGCAGCCATATTTGCTTTTCCAGCTAGCCATGGTTGATGACCGGAAAGTAGGTTGGTGAATTCTCGTCAGCCAGAACCATAGGGTTTCAGAATCTGGCGCCTTCAATAGTTTGTTGATTGCCTAATTACCATAGGTATCTATAGGGGCAAGTGGATCGATATCTATATATGATACCAATTGTTATTTTTTACCTGGCCATGGAAAATGGCCCATGTTCAAGATGATCATTTTCCATGTTTATATCAAATTAAATTTCCAGATGGTATAACCCATTGAAACACCCGTAAAAAACACCATGATTGAGCAATACTAACCACTTCTAACCACCTAACCGTTGTAAACCGTTATCAATCACCATGAACATAGGGATATTACCATTATTGATCTTTATGAACAACAATGAACCATGATGAACACCATAACACCTTGAGCAAGTCCACCAAGTGGAATATCCCATGTATAGATGGGCTGTAATCCCAGTTACCAACGGCCATGGTGCAAAACCGTTGCAGGATCGCGGAGACCTCCCGCGACGCCGCACGCGATGCAGCGACTGCCAAGTCGGCAGGAACCATGTGGCACCGCGGCGCAAGGGGCGGATGACAGGTGGGTTGGGGTATAACCTATGGCATTTGCGAGAACTTGGAGGGGGCTCCTAAAATGGGGGATCCCCAAGTCACCATGGGTTTCAATACGAAATGCTATCTAATGACTTGGATGATTTGGGGGTACCCTTATTTGAGAAAATCTCCAATTAGTAGTGTTTCATGGGGGGTCCGGAGTTCCTGTTCAGAGGTTTCGCCCGCTGCTGCTCAAGAATGCTAAATGTTCATGGTAGTTAGATGAATGACCAGCTTGTTGGCATTGGACCGGCAAAGCTATCGGGATCACTGTCTCATTGTGCTGGAACTTTTGCTGAGAAGGTCTTGGCCAGACGGCAGTTAGATGCAGGTGGCCGACTCTTGCATGTAGTCACGGATCAAGCTGAACAGCAGGTTGTGGTCAAAGCGTTTGGGCAATTGGATGGCTGTTTTTTCTGGCAGCCTCCCAAGCGAAAACCCACTGCCTTTGCCAAGAGCTTGAGCCGTGCATTTCGCACACATTGGTCGACAACCGGTCCAGATTCGTTCAGATCGCGACCAGAGGAAAAACTAGAGATTTTCAAGACAGGTGGAAGTAAGCATCACATGTGTCTTTTAGATGCTGAAAGACGCATTGAGGCAGAGATGTCAGGAGAAGTCATATTGAATCCAGACATGCAGATCGCTCAGGAGTTTGATGTCCAGATGCTCAATCCAGACCTGAAAGCCTGTGGGACATTTTCCTGGCGTTGGATGATCTTGTTTGTTTTGCTGGAACTGGTATGGCATACGGGCGGCAGGTTGTTTCTATCCACTTTGAGCAGCACGCTGAAGCCGGGGACTTTCCATGGAGGGTCCTCCTGGTGGGGATCAACGGCGCGATTTTTGTTGCCTTGGGTCTGAGTGAAGTTTTCTCCCGGAGTCTTGCCGGCTTGCCACCCACATGCTTGAGTCATGGTGTCGGCATCTTCGTTGGCATTCTGGTCTGTTTTGGAACTGCTGCCCTTCAAGCATCGGACGTGGCTTCATCAATCCTGGGTGGAATGGTTGTTTGTGTTGTGGGTCCAGGGTTCTTGTACGTTCAAAGTAGAGGCACATTCCCTGGACGCGGCTTTTCTGTGTGCTTGGCCTTTACTTTTGCTAGTTTGAGAGGAACGGCTGGCCCTGGAGCACTTGCGTCAGGCATCGTTTTGATATATACATTTTTGCTTGACAGTGGTCAGACAACTGCTGCCACTCTATTCTTGCCCATTGCGACTGCTTTGGCCGAGCCTGCATGCATCCTCTATATGCGAAAACCGATCTACTCATTACTTGTGGTTGCAAAGCGCCCTGCAGTCCCTGGTGACACCGCCCTTGTGAATATGCCTTTCATGTTAGTTGCTTCCCACGGTCAGAGTCTGCACGCTTAGTTGGAATGGTCGCTGCATGCCTGACCTTAACACTGAACATTCCTCGCCTCGGATGTCTGGGGGTTCGTATAGCAGCCATCGCAGCGCCCACAGCTTCATGAGGTGAAAATCCAGGCTACATCCGATACATCATCCCCTTAGCACTTTGGGCTTCATCCGAGCCATCTACCGTGACATCTCCTGGACTGGGCCCTATGCACCGACCTTCAACTTCTCTGCTGGTTGCGCACTGATTTGCATTCTTCTTTTCGAAGCTGGGCATCTAAATGAATCTAAGGCTCTAACATTGTTTTCAACATGTTCAACCGACCAGAAGAATGAACCCCTTGTGGGAGAAGTTTCGTTGGTTGGGGATGTCAATCGCCCAGGAAATCTTGGAAGATGTTGTGGGTGATCAATGAGTTCCTTCCAGTGAGCCCTGTTCCTTCCAGGAGGTGCTTGAAATCCAGCCGGGGTCCGACGATCCGAGCAGGTTGATTCGCTGCCAAATGCTGCCAAGCTAAAGGCGTTCCTCCTGGTCTGGCTGATTTTTGCTTTTGATGCTGCCTTGTCAAGCTTATGTCCCTTCAGGTTTTGTCTCCCAAGCTTGTCTCCCTTTATGTGGCCCCAAGCTTGTTTGCCTCCTCTTCCAAGCTTATCTCCCTACGTTCATATACGTTGGCCTCATGCACCCGCTATTCGGGGCCTATGCCGGTCTAATTTTCTTCTCATGGCTGTATAGAATCAATTGATTTATTTTTGGTGCTGGGAGAAGCTGTCATTTCTTTTTAGTCAAGACTTGGCTTTGGCAGGTCCTTACATGTTCTGGTGTTCAGTTGGGTTTCTGGTTGGCATTTGTGTCCCCAACAGGTCCAACAGCTTTGTCCATGGACCTCTGATGAATTCGGGGAAAGTTGATGTCAAAGTGTCAATGTCACATAGCAGGACCTTTGGCGACTGGACTGACCTCCGTTTGGAGATGCTGGGCCCGGTGCATGCCTTAGGCAATCGTCGATTCTCCTGGTCTCGTGTCCGGCGCGTGCTGGGACAGGAAAGGGGCTTGCGCCCGTCCTTGGTCCTCCATGGGCTGAGAGACTTGCAGCAATCGCCGGCATCAGTGAATTTACTTCAGATTTTTTAACACTGTGATAGGCCCAGGCTACGTGCGTGGACTTTGTGAAACGGGAAACAACCTGCAACCGTTGTCGATTTTGTGGCTGCCGGTGCCACTTCAATGCTAAGACGGAAGCCCTGCAGACTTTTCTGCCGATGAATCCGCCCTGCAGAATTCGAGTGCTGTGGTATCCAAGTGCCGTGGGAATTCAGACAACCATGAGCTAACCCTACCATACCCTACCCCCCAACTAACTGGAATGACAAGTTCTTAATGGCTGACTTTGGTTGTGAAGAAAGGTTCTACGGCACTTGATGTTTCGTTGTGGACCACGCGATGCGTCTCACCGAAAAGTACTGTTTGAGACATCATAGCGGAATCAGATCAACAACACAATTCAGGTATCTTGAAGTACTATATAATTGAATTAAAGCAATTGCAGATTCTATCCTGAGTGACTATCCCCGCCTGAAAAATCATGCATACACTATAGTTCGCGTATGTTTGTGGTTGGATCTCCAAATATACTACCCTATTGTGATGGTTTTATCCGCACTTATCGATTGTGTTTACCTTGGAAAGGCACTACGTGATGATATCCTCTTCAATTGTGACTTATGACGGTGATATCCCCATGTATTGTTGGTCTTTAGATGTTTCAAGTTATTTCAACCGATTTCAGCAGTGTTCAAAAGCCCTGTTGGCTGATGATTCTAGAGCGTGATGCTTTTCAATGTATTGGGGGTTTTCAAAATCCACTGTGGGAATTCATATTAACAAGGCAATGTAAAAGGCTGACGTTGCGGGTGTTGAACATTGCTCACTTATGAATGTTGTTCCCTTATTTTTGGTTATGCCAATGCTATCTCCTTGAAATTTGCTGGTTATATGATGATGTTGTGAGTGTATCAAGTGATATCCCCTTCAAAATTGATATACTCACAACATCATCATATAACTTGAAGGGGATATCACTTGATATACTCACATTTTAAGGGGATATCATGCTAGGTTTTGTCCTCATCTTTGCCCCCAAGGGGGTGCCACAAGACTCGACGACAACTCGTATTGCCGAGGTCGGGCGATTCCGCACCACCGCCACCTCCAGGTGGCATGACGCAGCCCAGCATTCGACGCTGGGGCGATGGACAGATTGGATATTGGGGGTGCAGTTGATGTACCATCTGGTTATGACTAACATAGCCATGGTATAGATGGTCCATAGAAATAGATGGTTTACCTATTATTTTAATGGTGATTTTCCAGTTCCCTATGTTAAATAACCAGAGGGTAATCGATATGAACAGCGGATGAGTTGTGGATTTATCTGGGTGGTAACATGGGTATGGGTTCATGATGGTAAATGATTAGTTGCTAATGGGTATAATGCCGCGCCTCCATTTTCCAGGGGTGACCATGAAATTTTGAGGGGATTCACCATCAGGATTTGGGGGGTTGGAAGTAACCATCAATTTTGGGGGGCACAACAGGGATATGCCCTTTGGTAAACTAGCAGTTTGCTATGGAAAATGGATGAAAATGGCTCATTTATAGATGGTTTACCTATTAAAGATGGTGATGTTCCATAGTTATGTTAGTTTACCAGAGGGGAAGGGAATGACAAGTATCAACATCTAGATATATCTACTATACTGGAGATATCATAGAAAAAACACCATCAATACCTGGAGAATCCTGGAGATGGGTGTGAACATCGCATCCCTGATTCTGGGAATCACAAGTCCTGGAGCATTAGTGAGTCTGTAAATTTCCAGAAGCAGGAATAGAACATGCTGCGCCAGGATCAACCTTGCAGGCAATGTGCATGGGCCAGCCATCACTCTTCAGGATGAGGCACAATTGAGATACTTCTCCACCCTCTTCCGGCGTCCGCCGGCAATCTCAAGGGATGGGAGAACGGAGGAGCGGATCGAAGCATGCATCAAATACCCAGCAGGGACAACGGACCTATTCTGGGCCCTCACAGCATTGAACATCTTGGACACAGAAGGACTGTCGCTCCTCTTTGTCGACGAGAACGCTCGACAATTTGTGGAAGCAAGAGTTGCTCGTCTACGAGGAGTCGGACTTCTGGCACACATTGACCCAGAGGCTGTGGGATTCTCAATGAGGTACCAGCTCCCGATGGCGGACTTGGCAACAGATGTGTCCATCTTGCGAAGCATCCTGACTGTGGCCCCAGAGATCTTTCCTGGAGGAGTGAGGGCGGCTGCAGTGCGCAGAGTGCCAATCTCTTCGATGGCTGATGTTGCGATGCTCAGTCAGGTGAGCACAAAGGTGTCTGGGAAATCAAGAATAGCATTAGCCTTGGAGCTAATGTCGGGGACTCACCAAAAAAGTAGGATCCAAACCATCTGTTGATAGCCAAATCCAGGTTATGTTTGTTGTTTTGTTAGCGGCTTTGTTGTGTTCAGAGATGGAGCAAAGCAGACTCATGCTGTGGAAACCGTCAAAATGGGTTGTTGTCTCTTCACCGCTTGACTGTCCTGTTGGCCAAAAAGATGTTTACCCTTTTTTTTTAACCCTGGAGTGACATGGCTGTGATGAGTTTGGGATGAACTGGCTGGAAAGAATGTAACTGAAAAGAGATACATAAACCAGATGTTCCCTGCAGTCCGTGGAATGGAAAAATACACGCAAACTGTTGATGAGTAAACGGTTACTGTTTTATCATGGATTATTTCCTGGCCGTGAACGGAAAAATAATCTCATCAAGAAAGGATCTGTACAAAGGGATATCTGAGTTTCTCAACCTGGTTACCTAACCATCACAGCCCCAGTTCTCCTGACTAAGGACAACCCATGAAGCTTTGGTTGCCAGAACCGACGCCTCAGCAGCCTCTCGTCGGCATCCCAAAAACATTGCTAGGGAAAGTCATATTTTACCCATGGGTCTACGGGCATCTTGTTTTTTGACAATCTTTACTGCAACGCTTGGGCTGTTCGATTGGGAGCGTTCCTTTTCCACAGATGCATTATATAATTCTTACTGGCAGCCCTTCAATGAAGCAGGCAGAAAATTTTGAGTGCAGAGAAATGATTATTGATTGCTATAGTGAGGCGGACAGCAAACCACTGATTGGTGAACAACTACATGTTGAACGGAGGCATCAAGAAATCATGGGCCTCGCTATTCAAGCATGGGTTTAATTTCAACATGTCTATCAAAACAGGTCTGGGAGTTGAAAAAGGTGAATCGGCACTGTGGCTTTTTGATCACGGAACTGCTGGCTATGGCAAGTCCAACCAATCTGCCACAGTCGCTGTTGGGAGCCCTCCGGTCCAGAAGATGAGTCAGACTCTGATGAGTTTCCTTAGCTCCTAGCGCACGCACATCAGCGCATGATGTTTTTGTTCTTCGCCAATAAAGCTTTGAGAAGCCAGCCCACGTATGCCCACGTATCTACACATCATGTTTTACATTTATAATATATTATATACATGCTTCTTTATTTGCCATGTATACCATATATTAATATGACACGCTATCTATATATATTATATATACATAATTATATATAAGCATATGTAAATACATATGCATATGTATATATATATATACATATATATATATATATACATCCCAAATATAGATTCGACCACTGGTGGATTTGGACTCTGCGAATACGACCTGCGGTAAATTTTAGATATTTTTGGATGGCCTTACTCTACGATGGTATTCACCACCAACCATCTGGGAAAAGGGGGATATGACTATGGATTCTGGAAAACTGGCCAACAAAAATGGCGTTCCTATCACCAACACTATGCTTCTTTGTTTTCTCCTTTGTTGCGATTACATGGAAAAACATGAAAAACACGTTGGAGTTGGGGTGATTTGACGAAGTTAGATCGCGATTTAGGCATCATGTCCAAATTGTTTGGAGAAGTCCCGCGTTTTCAACAAGAGCGAACTGTCCGCACACGTGGCAAGGCATTCCAATTAGCCAACGACTTCACATTTCCATCAATCAATCCTTGAAATCTCCTGACTCCGACCACCAAGGTTCCAACCACCACCTCCTCCACCTCCGTCTGGAGGGCCGCAGGTGAGATGGTGCTTGGGTATTCGCATGGTGCGACCGAACGAAAAAATAGAGCGATGTTGAAACCCCAAAAGGGGATTTAACCAGGAATACCCTCTGGTAATTTACCAGTTTGCTATTGAAAATGGCCATAGAAATAGTTGATTTACCCATTAAAAATTGTGATTTTCCATAGTAATGTTAGTTTACCAGAGGGTAAAAGGACAATCAGATGAATAGAAAGGTAAATATACAGATGTATAGATATATAGAAGCATAGTATATGCCGTTTTTAAGCTATGCGCCTATACAATGATGTAAGGTTTCAGCGATAGAAACAGGAATATAGGCTTAAGTATATTTAGCACCTCGCCAACCAAGCCCCAGATATGACGTTTAGCAGTGGAAGCCAGCCTGCGTTTGATCAACTTTAGGGGGTTATGCCACCAGTACTGGGTCAAGCCTGATAATTACCCCATGTCAACGATAGGTGAATGATGATAGTAGGTGGGGACCTGGTTCGGCTTCTTTATCTGGGGCTTCTGTGAGAATCTCAGAACGATTTCATAAATTCTCAGAACTATATCTAAACTTGTCAAACCCTTTCCAGAACTCTCAAAACTCTTTCCCGTTTCACAGAACTATTTCCAAAAAGTTCAGAAAGTTCTCCGAACTATTTCTACAAGTTCATTAAATATGAATCATCCATTACTTTTACATGTGTCCTCAATGGGTTTACCCTAATCTTGAGCCATGAAACCTTGCTGGCTTTGACAGCGGTAGGCCTCCGAGAGGAAGCCCAGCAGAAGCCCAAGGAAGAAGAGCAGGAAGCCACGGTGGGACATGGCGGAGATCATGAAGAATTTCGCTCACGGAGATCATATGGGATATAGTGGGGCTTTGTGATACTTCAATGATAGTTCAATAATTGTTTAGTGATAGTTTATATAATCATAGTTTAATTGTAGTTTAACGTGATTCAGTGGTAGTTTACTGCAAGATATTAGGTATTGTTGAACTTATCGCAGATCCCAGCCATAGCCACTAGAAGTTAAACTTCTGGCAGGGGACCTGGGAACCAATCAGGAATGATATGATGGATATTTATGAGGGTTATCAGGCATCCGCATCATGAATATTATGTATGTATTATATTTGTAGTATGTGTGATATGATGTGAAAGATATTTTTTCATGTGTATGTATATATGTGTATCATGTATTTGTCGTGTTCTCTAAGATGTGTATCTATGTAATATTTGTTTAAAATATGGCAAGAATTTGAAGGAGTGCATTTGTTTTTAATATATATATATATGTGCATTCATTTATTTTTTTTTATTTATTTATTATTTATTTATTTATTATTATTATCCTTACTATAATAATTCATGCACACATATACTTGTACATGTACATGTGCATACACATATACACATATACGTATATTTGTATAGTTTCAATCGGTGGGTGTAGGAGTGAATGGATGGACGACATACACCAACAATTCGGTAGATTGCAAGCCGAAGTAAATGGGTCCACCAGATGTGGTCACGCTACGGCGAGGCCCTTAATTCACCTTTTGATTGAGGTGTGCATCCACGGGGACCTGTTCACGCTTTTGGAGCGATGACGGCTTTTACGGCCCCGCACGGCATCACTGAGACTGAGAGGGCCCTCAGTATACGAGACAATGCTGGTACCCTTTGTGCATTGCTCCATATTTGCAAGAGCCCATGGGCATCCATGGAGTTTCAGCCTTATAATGTCAGTGGTCAGCCGGCGGTTCAATCAGTAGCTCTCCTCCACCATATTAATCATATTTCGGATGGCGGTCCGCAAATTCAACAACTGCCCGGCATATTGTTGAGATGAATTGAAACCACCAAGTGCCACAAGTGGAGTGAAGTATTAAAGGAACAAAACCATATATAGCTGGTCAATCATCGGTGTCCTGTAAGTTTTGCCTTCAGAAACAAGTGATAAATCAAGCAAGAAGACCCCGACGCACCCTTAAACATCCAATAGCTGTGCCGAGTGTCTCTCTATTTTGGATCTTGTTCAACTTAACATAAACGCGTTGCCATTTGGATTGTCCACAGCATTCACGTTGTCCCATGAAAATTCGTTCTTTTTACAAGGGGTGCTAAGGTCAGCCATGAAGATGGGAAACTCCAATGCTTTCAAAAGTATTACCCGGCGCAGTCAAATCATGGAGATGCATGAGGCTTCAAATGTGTTTGTTTCAAAATGTTTGGTTAACCCCAGAACGGCCATATGATAGGGAAAATGGTGATTAACCACCATGTTTGGAGTAAACTTTGATTGAACCATCAAACAGACAAAGCCAAGTTTATCCAAATTCATGTTGCGATACTCCATGCTGCTTTGGCACTTGATATTCATGCCGGGCATCCCACTGTGTATGGTTCATAATCCTGCTGATCGTAAGTCCCATGCTTCTGAATGGGACCTGCAGTTGCCCACCAGCAACTTCAGGTGTCCCCAGCAATATGTGTCAAATACTTATCTGGTTGGTGGTCTGGAACATGGCTTTTATGACTTTCCATAGATTGAGAATTTCATCATCCCAACTGACGAACTCATATTTTTCAGAGGGGTTGGCTCAACCACCAACCAGTTTTTGTTGCTGTCTAGATTCAAGATCCCATGCTTGATTGCTCCCTCTTCGTCGTTTTTTTCTGTCGTTAAGTCTTTATTGGGTTGGAACCCATGTTTGGTAGTTAAATCATATCTCGGGACTTGACCAAGGATTTCGTAAGTTGAAATTGTTTTTGCTCTTGTTTGCGTGCAGTTTTACAGTAAATCTTCACTTGTTTGATGGCCAAACCCTTCCAATATCTGTGTAAACCCATGAAACTCCCACACATATCAAAATACCCTAGGGCACACCCAAGTCTGGTTTCAACTTCCATTTCTATACCCTTCTTTTCCTGCACAAAACCTTTTCAATCTTTCTGTCAAACCCATAAACCCTCATAGTTATCCGTATCGAAATGCCGTGAGTATAGCCATGGTTGAATCTCCATAGATCCACCGTTTGTTTCCAGGTAGATCCCCATTTTGGCGAGATAAATTCCACTGTTGGCCAGATACACCATCAATTATGGTGAAATCCATGGGGAGCGAATTCAATCCACAGTTTTTCCCATGAAATGTCAGAAAATAACGGAGCATTCTTGATGGTACCAACTAACCCTAACAAGCTACATAAACCAAATATATATTGGTGATATATTTGTGATATCGAAAATGATCGGAATCCCCATAGTTCCACAAGTTTGCCACCCAAAAAGAAAAATAAAGGTTGAAGTCAAAACCCAGCCTTAAATCCCAAGAAATCCAACACTTTTTGCGAAATTTCAATAACTATCCAATCCTCATGATTAATGTCCATAAAAACACATAAAAATTACGACTTAATGGAGGAAAATCTTCATTGGTAATTTCAATAACCATTACCAGGGTGGTTTTTTTCTCCATAAACCTTGGTTTTTTCCCATCAAGTCCTGATTTTTCCCCGGGAACTCCCCGGTTTTGGCCGCCCAACCGGCGCCGGTCGCGTCGGTGCCAGGAGCAATTCCCGGCGCGCCCGGCGCAACCGCCGGCGCGGCGGCTGGGACGCCGAGGAGGCGCCGCCGGACAACGCGGCGCAGATGTCACTGGTGTCCCTCGGCGGATCCTTAAAAATGGTTGGTTTATAAAGGAACATCCCATTGATGATTGTACTATATTGATAATATGTTATGATTATTCATCATCTCCAAGTCATCCATTTATATCAACCATATGATAATAAAGAACCATAATGGGAAGATGATCATTATCAATAGATGATCATTATAGTATCACTATGGAGATGATAATTGTTGATGATTTGGAGATGAATAATAATAATGATAATAATAATAATTGCGCTATGTTTTTATGAACCATATCTAAGTTATTCATTAACACTGAATATCTGGTTGGTGGTTTGGAACATGGCTTTTATTTTTCCATATATTGGGAAGAATAATCCCAAGTGACTTTCATATTTTTCAGAGGGGTTGAAACCACCAACCAGCCATTGATATGGATGATTTGGAGGTAACCCTATTTCAGGAAACCACCATATGTATAGTTGATGATTAATAATCATTGTGCTATATATATATATATGTTTTTGAGTAAGTGTTATCTCATAGTTATTGTTAATGTATAGTTGGTGATTCATTGTACCATGGAGATATTATGATGAATATGGAGATGATGATCATTATTATATATTATGAATACACAATTCCATAGATTATAATATTTTTGTTGAGGATTCTTGGATTCATGGTTAATTATCATAGTATGACTAGTTGCTGATTGGAGATATAATGATGACATATGATAACTAGCCATCATTAATACAGTGGACAGTAATAGTGACTGTTAATTGATGGTTATTAGAATGATTACAGTATATATTCATTAGTGATAATGAATAGTGATATGCATAGATTAATAAGTATTCATGATATAATGTTACAATTCAGATATCAGAACAATTATTGCATAAGATATCATGGAATTGCCCTGTATAATCATTGGAAAATGAGATGAAAATGGTGATTTAAGCATGAACAATGGAGGTAGAATGGAAAATTGGTTTTAGTTAATAAGGCGGAAATAAGTCATGATTAGCTATAAAACGACTATCATGGTGATTATAATCCATCAATACAGGCTATCCAGTAGCAGGTGAAAAATTCGGACTATTTTTTTCCGTATGGTTAAGAACCCTGAAATGAAAATCATCTATGAATGGTTACAACCGAGAATGGTACAAACTTTTTTTCCACATTAGAAATAGTTACCCTCCAGTCGGGCTTGGAAGATTAGTTTCCAATAAAAATGGCTGATGTTCATTTGAAAGTTCCGGGTCGAAGTGTGAATTTACCAGAGAATTAGCTATAAGCATTATTATGTGGGCAACCATATCCTCTGTTAAACAAACAGTATGGCCGTATGGCTTATTATTGTCATTATTTGGTAAAAAAACACGTACAACTCACCATAGTAAAAAAGATGCCACAATTAAACTAACAATTATGATCTGGCTGGTGGTTTCGAACATGTTATTTTTTCCATTTCATATATGGGATGTCATCCTTCCCACTGAAAATATGTTTCAAGATGGTGATGGCACCACCAACCAGATTTACAACTGCCATGATTTTCTGATGGTTTTCCTATTAAATCACCATTTTCTTACGGTTCACCAAGTTAAACAGACCCTTTTCCGCTTCAAAAAACCCAGCGAAGTTCAGCGAAGCTCACCAAGGCCCTCACGCCCTGCCCTGCCGCCTGGCGCTGCTCCGGGACGACCTGCGGGGATGCATGGACCAGTGCCTTGGTCGCCTTCCATGTTTTTTTGGGGGAAAACCCTGGGAAAACCTATATTGTTTGGTGTATTTTGGTATGACGATTCGCATTTTTTGCGGGAGTCAAGTCATATTTTGTTGGATGAACTTGCCTTGTTCGCTGGTTAAATACCTTTTAGAGACAGAAAGAGAGCAGGTTTATGCAGCAGCATTGGGATCCAACCCATGGTTTATCATTATGCGCCCGATTAAGATCGGGATTTGGGCCATGTTATGCCGGGCGTTTAGTGCGTGAAGGTATACTTTTGCATTGATGTGTAAAGTCGATGCGAAGATATGTCACAGACATACCGCATGTATTTACTGTGTATTTATGTTCATACCTCCATGTTGGTACAGGAATATACCATGTGTCAGTATCCGGCAAAAATACAAAATATTCTATATGTTCATTTTTATATATATATGAATTTTATATATATATATATATACATGATATTGAGTTTTTCAAAAATAGGGATACCCCAAAAATCATCCATGTCGTTTATAAATGTCGTTTATAAACCATCCATGTTTATCCATTTTTGGGGTACCCTCCCCTTTCAAGAAAGCTCCATCGCCATCGGCGCGTCACCAGGTGCCAGTGAACCGCTTCGGCATCGCCGAGGCCACCCCCGAGGCAGGGCTGCAACTTTTTGGAGGGTGATGTCACTTATATACTTATGGAGGGTAAATAAAGTGGTAAAACCCATCAAAACATAGATGTTGGCACACTTTTTGGAGTAAACAGTAATTAAACAAAGTGGGAATTCAAGAAAGTCTAGTTTACCCAGCCGTTATCACGAAAGGCCGCTTCATTTTCTATGTCCAAGCCTCACAATGGGATGGTGATACCCAATGAACTAATGAACTAATTTGTTCAGGATGGTTGAAACCACCAAACAGTGATGCGTGAGTTGACGATGATCGAGTTTTTCTGACATCGGGGACCCCAAGTCCACCAAGAACTGTTGTTGTTTTTGGTAAGGATGGTAAGGATCATAAGGGTATAGGAGAATGAACAGTAATGCTAGTTTTCGATTGCTAAATAGTTGAGAGAGAGAGAGAGAGAGAGTTGTTCCTATGTTGTGACTGGTGCTCCTATCACTGGTTGGACCATCCCAGTCGTGATTGGTCAGTAGCGGTTAACAATATACCTGCTAATATCTAATTAAGTGAGGTTCATAATCCAAGAAACCAACCACTTGGGTTAGTATACATTTCCCAATTTAATAAGTCTCAAAGATACTCGAACCCAGGAAAGCACTCGCAAGATCTGGGTTATGGTATCGTAAACGATTTGAAAAGTAGGTTATATATCATTTCTGAATCTTAAGAGTTGGCTTATAATCAATTCAATCGGAATTTCAGCACCCTAAAATAGAGGTACTGTACCATATAAAATAGAGGTACTGTACCATATAAAGCCGTACTTTCTGGGATATCCCCTCAACTTAACCCTTCCAAAATTCACCTGCTCGCAGGCCCTAGCAGCTGCAGTCTTCCGGGCACAGCAGGTAGAGAAGGCCCAGAAATCTGCCTGGGTTGGTTGCAGACGATGGATGATGTCTCCATGGGTACCCCCATTTAGGAAACCTCCATATTCTGATTTATGGTGATTCATAGTGATTTAATGATGATTTCATGGTGATTTTCATCGGAATTTGACAAACAAAAACGGGATTTGTTTCATTGGATTAACCTGTGGTTATTCAAGAGTGTGCGAACTGGAAGCCATTGCCCAGCAATAGTTCGATGGTTCACGATGATTTACTTATCATTTCCATGGTGATTTTCCATAGCTACGTTAAATAGCCAGAGGGTAATAGTTGCTATATTTCTAGTTGGTGGTTTGGAACATTTTTCCCATATATTGGGAATGTCATCGTCCCAACTGACGAACTCATATTTTTCAGAGGGGTAGGTATACCACCAACTAGTGATATTTGGTAATTGATAGACCTACCCTCTGGATCCCTCTGGTAAACGTTTACATAACGGTTAAAATCATCATTTCTAGTTGGTAAATCAACTCTTTTTATGTCCATTTTCAATAGCTATGTCTATGTTTACCAGAGGGTCTCATTTAACTGGATTATAACCATATTTTCCATTTATCATTTATCATATCATTTACCATGATAAATAGGTTATTTCCACTATATTTGGTGAAATTTCCATGATAGACCTATCAGTGATCTCCTGAACGCCAGGCGGGTCTGGAAGCCATGCGCGACAGCGGCAAGATCCCTCGGGGGCCACCAGATCTTCCTACAGGCGCGGATCGGTGACGGGGAAGTTCTGCCCGGATCAAAGAGGCCAAAATTGGGTGTTGACGACGAAAAGGATGGCATGTTCCCCTGGTACCCTCTGCTAAACATACAAAGATAGCTATTGAAGCCATGGCCCAGTCGAAATAGTTGATTTACCAATGAAAAATGGTAATTTTCCATAGTGAAATGTAAACGTTTACCACTTTTAAATTATCCGACTAAAAGCATTTACACTAAAGATGATTGAGCTAGGGTATCAATAAAACCTCTCTCTATAATGTCCAAATCCCATTATTCGTGAAACTTGTCCAAGTTCGAGATCGAAAACCAATTACGGATATTATATACAGTATATAAATCTACGACTAGAAGTTATAGCAATCCCCAAGAAAAGGATGCCGATGCTCGCAAATTGCGAACCTGTGATATTCATTGAGGTGTTTGACGGGTTGCTATCGCCGAACGTGCCCCACCATTTCAGCGGCCCAGGAACCGAAGTCATCGAGCAGAAGTGCGTGGCATACCTCATCGGTGTGGAGACCTAGAGCCGTAGGGCTGGGATGTACCTGAAATCCATCGCCGATGTGAATTCCGCTCTAAAAACACAGGAAAACAAATGGTTAAAATGGCAGTGATAAAACATGATAAAACCACAGTTTGGTAAATCCATCCCTTTTTGGGGTTCATATCCACAGCAGATCATTGATATTCCATTGTTTGGTGCGTGAACCCCTACGGTGTATCCAAATCTGGTCCCCATCATACCTCCATTTGGTGAGAAAAATACCTCCGTTTTGATACATTTGATGTACGCAGTTCCATTCCAAATTGGTGTTTATATATTATATATCCATCATATCATATCCTCGTATTATCCCCATGCCTTTGTCAATTTAACCCCCAGATAGCATCATTATATATATATATATATCCATTAAAAAGAAAAAATCATTTTACATCCCTTACAACTCCTTTGACATGTCGAAATTGCAACTATATCCTCCGTATTTTCCCTCCAACTATATCCCCGAGTTGCCATTGATCCCAGGTAAAGGAGGCCAGGCGCTGGCAGCCATCAATGCGGCCGCGGGCGTTTCCACGCAGATCGATCAGTCCACGAAACAGTTCGGTTACAGCCGCCAGACGCGATTAGCAATGGGGATGGGGATGGAAGTTTTCATTATTGGGATGGATGGTAGTATGGATGGAAATTTCCAATAATGAAAAGCTAAAAATCCATCAATTATCCCAATGATGATGGGATGATGATTCTGATGATGCTGTTTGTTGGAGATCTTCGGTGGAAATTTCGGTCTTTTTTTGGTGATTCAGCGAGTTTTTTGAAAAATTGACCCAGCTCTTGGGAGAGGCCGGGCGGTTTGTGCAACAGCTCCATAGAACGGTAGAAAAATATGGTTGGAAATCCATGGAAATCCCCATAAACCCCTCAAGAAAATGGAGGTTTATAGCTTTATAAGGCCAACAGCACAGAGAATATAGGGTTTTATATTTTAAAAAACCAGAGCAAACAGAAAAACAAACTCAGAAAACCAAAAACCAGAAAAAACAAAATAAAAACAATATACAAAAACAAAACTAACTAAGGAAAATCCAGGTTTTTGTTTTTTGTTGTTTTCTTCTTGTTGTTTTTGTTTTTTCTGCTGATTTCTTCCTGTCAAGTTGTTTTTTTGGTGATTCTGTTTTTGATTGTTTTTCTTTATATTTTTGTTTGCTAAAATCAACTTTCTCCGTTGAAGCCGGCCTCATAATTATAGCTGGTAAAATCAACCATAAATCGTGGATTTTCCACTGCCGTGTTGGATGACCGGAGGGTAATAGCCAAGAAGTGGTTTCATTCCCTACATCCACCATGGTTTATGGAGTGTAAGATGAACGGGGTAAGGGATTCGTGGTGTCCCTGATTAAGACCTTGGTGCACTTGTCGCGGTGCCTTTTGAATAAGCATTTTGAAGAACAATTTTGGGTCCAACGCATCAATCAACTGGGGGTTATGAATCCGAGTTTGACCTTGCGATGTTGATCTACCAGCTCTGCGTTCATGCAATTATTCCGGCGCGGATGATGGATCGTGTCATATAGTTCAATAAAGCCCACCGTGATTCACTGGTTGATGATCCAATTTCATGGAAAAAACGATGCTAAAAGGGACCCGGGATGGGTCAACAGCTATCATTCATGCAGCAAACACCATTGCAAAAAATCAGACAACATCCCTAAAAAAGGTTATCCCAGCTGTTCCGCTAGAAATGTGTGTGTTTTTCCTCTATGGCCAGATTGGCCAGCTAACCAGCTCAACTTCGTGGAATGATTTGTTCAGCCTAGGTATGGCCAACATCTATGGCACCGAAGAGGGCACGGCCAAGGTGGGAGGAGTGTCCAGCATGTCAGATTACCAGAGTAATGACCGTGAAATATCGTGAAATTATAGCTAGTTGGTGGTTTGGAACATTTTTGATTTTCCATTCAGTTGGGAAGAATAATCCCAGCTGACTTTCATATTTTTCAGAGAGATGGCTCAACCCCCAACCAGGTAGTAAATTATATATCACCAGTGGTTCTGTTCACCCAACATGGCTATGGCTGGGGTCTTAGAGTTCATAAACCCACCAACTAGATGGGAACTTAAGGGTAAGTTTGGGCTGGATGGTTGTGATCCGGGTGTGTTTTTGATCGTTTTTGCGGTTGATTCTGTGAATCTACCAGCAAAATGATGACCAGTTCCCAGGTTTGGGTGAATGATGCCTCATTGCTTGTATCACCAGCTGGCAGCTTTTTTAAAAAAAAATAGCGGTAATCAAACCATATTAAACCTACCTTGCTGAAGAACATTCCAGAAAATGAAGATGAGTTACAAGACCCCTCAAAAAGATAGAGAAGGGAAAATCGGACTAAAACATATGGCAATCTTTGCTTTTCTCTATCTTCTTTTGGTTGCTGTACACCTATTGAATTGTTGGCTATAACTTTCATATTTTTCTTAGCAGCTGGCAAATCTATCGAACATCCTACTAAGATCCAAAAAAAATACTTTACTTCGTGTGATCCCCACCATGACATTTATACATTTTGTTACTGGCAAATCTTCTGGCATTCTATCTGACATATTTTCTGGCATTCGATCTGGCATTCTATCTGGCATATCTTCTGGCATTCTACCTGGCATATCTTCTGGCAGATGTTCTGGCATATCTTCTGGCATATCTTCTGGCAGATGTTCTGGCATATCTTCTAGCATATCTTCTGGCATATGTTCTGGCATATCTTCTGGCATTCCATCTGGCATTCTATCTGGCATATCTTCTGGCATATTATCTGGCAAATCTTCTGGCATTCTGCATATCTTCTGGCATATTATCTGGCAAATCTGCTGGCATTCTATCTGGCAAACATTCTGGCACTTTATCTGGCATATCTTCTGGCATTCTATCTGGCATTCTATCTGGCATTCTATCTGGCATACCTTCTGGCATTCTATCTGGCATATCTTCTAACATTCTATCTGGCATATCTTCTGGCACTCTATGTGGCATATCTTTTGGCGTGGATACTCGCGGTTGAGGTCCGGCAGGGAACACTGGGCGTGGATAGTCGTGGTTGAGGTCCGGCAGGGAACACTGGGCGGGGATACTCGCGGTTGAGGTCCGGCAGGGAACACTGGGCGTGGATGGTCGTGGTTGAGGTCCGGCAGGGAACACTGGGCGGGGATACTCGCGGTTGAGGTCCGGCAGGGAACACTGGCGTGGATGGTCGTGGTTGAGGTCCGACAGAGAACACTGTGGATCGCGAGTCGCAGTTGAGCAGGAGGACGAGGAGGACAACGAGAGGAGGAGGACAACGAGAGGAGGAGGAGAGGAGAGGAGGAGGAGGAGGACCAGGCAACTGACATAAAATCTAACAACCCTCACCTGGCAGGTGGGGAACTATCTGACGTTATCTGACCCCTTCTTGAAACCTCCTAAAATCCGACCTTCGTTGCAGTTTGCAACCAGGGTTGAAAGCCCTTCGCCCAGGCGAAGTTGATCCTTCGTCAGAAGATCTCGGAATATCGACCCTTGAGAGGATGAGACACCTCGACATGGGAGGACTGGGATGGCTGCAAGACAAAAAAACGCTTGGTTGATGATTAGTTATATTACTGGTTGGTGGTTTGGAACATTTTTTCCATAATATATTGGGAAGAATAATCCCAACTGACTAATATTTTTCAGAGGGGTTGAAACCACCAACCAGATTAGTGTGTCATTTTAGAGGGATTCTAAGCATCGAAATGAAGATATCAGTGGATATAAATGGATATAACTGATAATTAGATAATGGTTGGTTGGTGATGAATTATTTGTGGATTATATTCACTGGTATCGTTTTTTGGGGAGCAGTCACAATGCATTTTTTCGGGGGCTCCCTATCAGCTGCAACCAGAATCCCCAACTGTCAGGATGCCACCTGATGGATGATCATAAACACCATGATATCAATGGAAATTTCAGGATCCTAAAAAATAGGCCATATATGTGGAATCGGTACCTCCAATTTAGCTTCCTGAGTCATGGCCATTGATGATATCCCTTTTTGACATTTTTTGAGCATGGCACAGGGATATCCTCAGTGGGACTGTAATAGTCCCCAAAACTGAGGTGTTTGTCCCTAAAAATCCTACCAGGGATTATGATATCTAATGGGTAATCATAATCCCCGGTAGAACCTTTAGGGACAAAAACCCAAAAGAAATCACTGGAATGATGCTTAGTAAGGGGAATCACACCCATACCCATATTATATATATATACATATTATATACACACACACAACAAATATAACAATGAAATTAGCAATGGAATTTTGTAAGATGTCAGGGTTTCGAAGTTTTTTCTCCAGGCTGACTGATGGTATGCCTTTCAAGTGTGAAAGATTTCTTAGTTGTGATCTTTTCTGGATCGGCTCAGCTTTCCCAAACATCTACTGCGTTCATCCCACGCCCAACTTCAGCCCTGCTTTGGGTCACTTTGGGTCTGCGACTGATGATCCGGACTCCTGGGGATTTGTATGGGATTTGTATGGCACAACTTTTGCTTCCATGGGGATCCATCCATCCAGTTCTCCCCGTTCTCTTTTCAGGCGATATTAATCTATGATTGGCCTTGATTTGGTTTTCTTTACAGTTTTTGCAGCAAACCCCATGCTTTCCTTTAGATGTTTAATTTCAGTAGTGAGATTTAGTGAAGAAATTTTGCTCAAGGAACCCAGAAAAATCCACTAAACATCAGGGCCTCCATTTCCCTTCAACTACGTCTTCTTTATGTCACTTCGTTTCGATTTGGAGATGGTTATCTCACTATCAATGGATAGCCAGGATAGCCAGAAGGAATTCACTTGGGGAAGCATGTCTTTTGGCCAAATATCAATATATATAAATAAGGGTAGCCACAAAATTGGCTTAATGGTTTTGAGTTCATTCGTTTTATGGAAGAGACTCTCCAAAGTTTGGTTTAGGGATATTTACCATCATTCTTCCGAGATATTTTTTGCGCTTTTGAACGCAACATCACTAAGCCATGGAAATTGCCAATTCATGATGCCACACAGAAGAAAAAAGTCTCGCCGCCCAATGACCCGAAGTCGTGATCAATCTATGACCGGCGAGGCAATGTAGAGGTTTGGTGCGTGGTGAGTTTGGTGCACTCTTTGCGGAGAAAAGATGAGGTTTTGCTGCCAAGATTTGGTGCGACCAGCTGACCAGCTGCGATCGGGTTTTCCAGGTGAAATTTTGAAGCGATGGTTTCTACTTGGTTAGCAAGTTTTCTGATATCAGTATGGATCCATGCTTCCTGTAGGATGGTCATGCGGTGCAAAAAGCCTTCCAATGATGTCATGGATCTAAGAAATTGAAGCCATGAAAATGGCACTGGAGAGTCCCCCAGTTGTGACAAAGCAAACCATTGTTGTTCCAGATGTTCCAGAAAGTTTCCACTTCAGCCACTTCCAGCCCAGTACCCCAAAGTTTCTTTTTTGGCTTCATCATTTCCCACTAGTCCAGACACCTGCGGCGAGCAACGCTTGCCGCACCGTTGGCTGCGGAGGCCTACGGCGAGCTGAGGCGCAAGTTCAGGTCCCGAAGAACCGTCCCGACAGTCTTTGGAGTCCCGAAAACTCGACTTTTTGAATATTAAAACAATTTTAAACCCAAAATGCAACAATAATAACTTAAGAACAAATATCATCATCATGGTAGTACTTTTTTTAAAGTCTCAGGAGAAAGAAGTTGCTCTTGCCATCTCTTGCCATGTGTTTTTTTTGGTTGGGATGTTCGCCCCATTCGCCACCTCCCAGTGCCACAACTCTTCCCATGGCGGCCAGCGCGCGTCGCGCAGCCTAGGGATCTGCGTTGAGAAAAAGAATGGGTGGAGGATGCGACCGAAACGGTCTGAACAACATTGGAGGGCCATGGTAAACCATCTATTTCTATGGGCCATGGCTTCCATGGCGAACTGTTAGTCATAACCAGAGGGTATCATTGGAATAATCCTCCAATTGAAACCCTGGAAAGCACCAAAGATATCCAAAGATTGGGCAGCCAAACTGATATTGAAATTGTATTGAGATTGAAACCACCATGTTTGATCGGGTTTCAACCATGTTTTGGATTGAGATTGAAACCACCTAAAAAGTTTGATTGAAACTCGCATTTTTTTCCGGCAAAAAATGGGACTTGAGCACCGAAAGCCTGAGATTTCTGGAGAAAATGTGGATTGAAGCAACTAGAACTGTGCACTCAGACTGGTGATTTTTTGATAGTTGCATCACCGAAAGTCTCTGCAATGTTGGTGAGTTGTCCAAAAATATGTTGGTGATGCCACAACACCTAGGGCACTCTATGCCCGCTATCGAAAGTAATGTAGCCGGGAAATAGGCACAAGAAATGATACCATGGGGGGGTTGTTATGGCTCTATTGCAATTTTCGAGTTCCCAAAAGCTTGACCAACAAAAGTATCTTACAAGTTCACAAACAGTTTCATTCATCAATCCACATCCCATAGTATATCATAGTATATCCCATTAAATCCCATTAAATCCAGTGATGTTCTTTTGCAATTCGACCACTTTTCGTCACGAAAAGAAACACTTCCACAAATTTCTGGAAATCGCCAAGGTTCAGATGATCAGCAACAACGGTCCTTTCAGTGCGGAGATTTTCCATGTCAAGATCTGCGGTGCCATGGCCATGGGTCGGCCAGTCATTTTGGGAAGCTTCCACACGACAGCTTGGGACAATGCATGGAAATGTTACTCCAGATGTACTCTCCAGTAAAAATTAACGTTTAGGTTTAGATAATTGTATAATAGAATAAAGTAGGTTCTTATATGTCATAGTGTGTGTATATATATATATGTGTGTATGTCTATCTATCTATATATCTATATAACATTATAAAACTATATATGGAGAGGAGGAGGGAAAAAGACATCCCAGGCAGCGTTTCCAGCGCCTCCGCGCGGCACTTTATCGGCATCGCGGCGGATCCACAAGAGAAGGCGGTGGCGGTCGTTTGGGCGGAAAATGCGGTGGCGTTGCCAAGGAAAAATGGTGGTTTAATGTGGTTAAAAGGTGCGCAACCATGGTAATTAATAATGATCATCAATGATGGTTAATAATGATCATTAATGTTAATAATGATCATTAATGTTGATAATGATCATTAATGGTGATTATTGGTTCACAATGATCATCAATGTGGCAATAGTCGTTTATAGTGGTTAAAAGATATTAATAATGGTTAAAAGTGGTTTACCATCTGGTATAATGTGGTTAAAACAATGCATTTTTTACTACCCATTTTCCTGGGAATGGGATTTCCATACCGCCTATAAAAATGATTAAGAATGGTGATTTTCCTGGGGGATGGTAAACATGGCATTGTTTTAACCACATTATATGGTTATTGCATGTTATGAAACTATCACCCTGGTAATGACTCGCCATGATGCCTGGAAAGGCCTACATCCGGATTGGTTTACTGGAACATCAACCGGATAACCGGACCCAAGGGTTTTTCCCGTTTATCATCTAGAGGTTTCCTGTGAACTTTCGTATTTCTGGGATAGGTTAGTTTATAACTAGGTGAATTCTATGCTTCGATACAGTTTATGAGCCACATGATCATAGATTATTATCAGTGGAAATCACCGTGGAATTACCTTTTGATCCGAATGGGATAAACAATGGATAGGTTTTTGTGGTGTATTATGTGTACTTTTTTCAGCCTGGTTTTTCTGTTTTTTTAATGAGCCAACTGGTTGATATTAAGGCGTGCATTTGCTGCAATAATAATTACATTAACTGCCACCAGATCAATCCGGAGCGGTTCACCACAACACTGGATTTGGTAATCCAAAAAAAACATGAAATGGCCCGGCCGTGTTTAAAGAATACATCATCTAAAATCGCTCATTTTCCGCTATGGTTAAATTACCAGATGGTATGTCCATGTATGTCCCATGTAATTCCCATGAAAAAGTCCCCTTATCCCCGTAACTGTGTTCCTAGCCGTCGTGGCGACAGGATTCAGTGAAGGTGGATGACACCAGTGGGCATGATATGAAGCGCGGCATGCGGCATGGGTTTTGAACCAACCGTGCATGGTTCTTTGAAAGGGGAAAATCATCGATGGGGATTATATAAACCAAACAATTTATGATGATAGATAGAAGGACTCTCATAGCCATTCAAAGTACCCAGTTGCATGGAAATTGGTGGGATTGAATCATCAGATAATTATAGGGGTTGTAGGCTTTTAACTATCAAAAGGAAGTGGATATCATTTATCCACGGCCACATGGGTCCCAATTTGCCAACAAAGCAGGGTAGAAACCCAACCGTTTTATAGGGCATAATGGGATTTAGTGAGACCTACAATCAACTGTATGATGTTTGGGTTGGTCCATATGGGTCCAAAAACCGAGGAGTGACCTGAAAAATCGGGCGACTCAAACGGAGAGAATGATGAAGTATGGGATTTGGGGGGTCTCTCAGACAAACCTGGATATGTGGGTAACCTTGCTGAAGAGTAGGTTCCTGGTAATAATGATGTAATTCCCGAGAGCGTCTGAGCGCAGGGTTCTTCCAATAGTGGGGGTCTGTAAAA